AGCGGGATCCACTGGATATACTATACTTAGATTTTCAGAACGCCTTTGACAAGGAGCCTCTCCAAAGTAAGCTGGGATAAGAGGGAAGGTCCTCTCATGGACTGATAACTGGATAAAAGATAGGAGACAAAGGATAGGAATAAATGGTAAGTTTTCAGAATGGAGAGAGGTAACTAGTGTTGTCTCTCAGGTCTCCTTACTAAGACCAATCCTATTCTACATATTCATAAATGATCTGGAGAATCAGTTAAAATGAGGTGGCAAAATTTGCAGATGATGCTAAACTGCTCAAGATAGTAAGTCCAATGCCAACTGTGAGGAACTTCAAAAGGATCTCACAAAAGTAGGTGACTAGGCAACAAAATGGCAGATTAATTTTAATGTTGATAAATGCAAACTAATGCAAATTAGAAAACATAATCCTAACTATAAAATGATGGGAATCAAATTAGCTATAACTATTCAGGAGAGAGATCTTGGAGACATAGCTGATTGTTCTCTGAAAACATCCACTCAATGTGCTGCAGCAGTCAAAAAAGAAACAATGTTAGGAATCGTTAAGAAAGGGATAGAGACTAAGGGTACATCTACGCTGCAACATTATTTCAAAAAAACTAGCATTATTCCGAAATAACTTAGTCTGTGTCTACACAGCAGGCAGTTATTTAGAAATAGTGTCAAAATACTGTAAAGTTGGAGGACTTCTTACTCCAACTCCTATAACCCTCATTGTATGAGGAATAAGGGAAATTGGAGGAAGAGTGCTTTATTTTGAAATAAGTACTGTTTAGGAAGAGTGCTCTTTTTCGAAATAAGTGCAGTGTAGATGCTCCCTATTTCAAAATGAGGTATTTTGGAATAAGGTACGCAGTTGATGTAACTCAATTTGCATAGCTTATTACGAGTTAAGCCCTGCAGTGTAGATGCACCCTAAGGCTATGTCTACACTACAGCATTATTTCAAAATATCTAATTTTGAAATAGTTATTTCAAAATATCTCATTTTGAAATAATGCGTCTACACACAAAATGCATTTTGAAATAGCGTGTCCACACTGATTGGATGCTGAATCGCATTTAAGGCCAGCCAGAACTGGTTCCGACAGGGCATCAGGTCAGAAGTTACCTTGTGGCCATAGCAACCAGCAGGGCACCCTGAGAAGGGCTGCAGGTCTCCTATTTCAAAATAAGCGTCTACACAGCGCTTATTTCAAAATAGACACTATTCCTCATGGAATGCGGTTTACCAATTTCGAAATAAGCCCTCTGCTATTTCAAATTAATTTCAAAATAGCAGTTGGATTGTATAGATGCTAGGAAAGTTATTTCAAAATAACTATTTCAAAATAACTTTGCTGTGTAGACATGCCCTAAGACAGTGAATATCGTATCGCCTCTGTGTAAATCCATGGTACACCCACATCTTGAATAATGTGTGCCAGTGTGGTCACCGCATCTCAAAAAAGATATGTTGGCACCAGAAAAAATGCAGAAAAGGTCAACAAAAATTATTAGGGGTTTTGAGTTGCTTTCATATGAGGAGAGATTAAAAAGAAAGGGACCTTTCAGCTTAGAAAAGAGGAGACTAAGGATGTATCTACATTGCTGGCCTTAACTTGAAATAAGCTATGCAAATTGTGCTACTGTGGCGGCGCGTTGGGGTTTTCCCGTCTCCTGCACCCCCGTAATGGCACAGACAGACTCCACCAGCCCGTAGAATAGAGGGAATTTATTGCTTCTCCAGGATACAGCACAGATGTAATATGGTTACAGGGCAGGTCTAGGATGCCTCAGCCCCTCTTGAGATGGGGGAGCCTAGGCCCCTAAATCCCAGCCAGTTGCCTAGGCTGCTTTCTCCATGATACCAGCCAGAAACCCAACTAACTCACTTCCAGCCCTGCCCCCAGCCAGGGCTCCACTCCCCTTCGACAGGTTCGGAGCCCCCTTGCATAATGACTCATTCCCTGCCCTGCTGGGCCGTGCTGCAGCCAGCAGCCAGTGGAGGTCACTCACAACCCACTGCCCAGCATAACAACCAGCAAGGTACCCCTCACTACGTCACAGCTACATCAATTGTGTATCTTATTTCGAAATAGGGAGGAACTGCACAGAACTTTTTTTCAAAATAGAGCACTCTTTCTCTGACTTCCCTTATTCCTCATACAAAGAGGGTTACAGGAGTCAGAGTAAGAAGTCCTCCACCTTGACAGTATTTTGACACTTTCAAAATAACTTCTTGCTGTGTATATGCGGACTAAGTTATTTCGGAATAATGCTAGTTATCTTGAAATAGCGTTGCAGTGTAGATGTACCCTGAGAGGAGATATGATAGAGGTCTATAAAATCATGACTGGTGTTGAGAAAGTAAATAAAAGTTATTTACTTGTTCCCATAATACAAGAACTAGGGATCAAGTGAAATTAATAGGTAGCAGGTTTACAAGAAACAAAAGGAAGTATTTCTTTATAGAGCACAGTTCTGTGGAACTCCTTGCCAGAGGATGTTGGGAAGACTAGGACTTTAACAGGGTTCACAGAAGCATGGAAGATAGGTCCATCAATGGCTATTAGCCAGGATGGTTAGGAATAGTGTCAGAAACTTTTTTCTGACAGGCCTCTGTCAGAAACTGAGAATGGGCATCAGGAGTTGGATCACATGGTAATTACCTGTTCCATTCATGGAGCACCTGCCATTGGCTACTGTTGAAAAACAGGATACTGGGCTAGATGGACCTTTGGTTTGACTCAGTATGGCTGTTCTTATGTTAGTAGTCTTCAAACATATTAAGGGCTGTTATGGAAAGGCTGGTTAACAACTATTCTCCATGTCCACTGAAGGTAAGATGAGGCAATGAGCTGGATGTGCAGAATGAGAGAGTAAGGTTGGCTATTAGGAAACACTTTCTAAATATAGGGCTAGATACCCACATCCCTAGTGTAACCATACACTAGAACAGGTTCTCTAAGGAGGAGGTGGAATCCCTCTGGGAAGTTTTAAAGAACAGGTTAGAGGAAGAGGATGTGTCAGGGAGAGGCTAGGTTTACTTGGCCCTGCCTCAGCCAAGGTAGCTGGACTTGTTAACCTCTCCAAGTCTCTTCCAGCCCAATAGATTGTTTTCAATTCTAGGAAACCCAGTGGAGGTTGCCTGTAAGGCTTTGGAGCGGACAGGCAAGCGGAAAGGGTCGCTCTAATGCAGCCAGCTTAGGGGCAAGGCGAGGCGCGGAGGCGAGCCAGGGAGGTGTGGAAGTGCAGGGAGTGTTTAGGAGGGCCGGGTTAGAAGCGGCAGCCAGGAAAGGCAGAAGAGGAGCTGGGCAGAGCCGAGCTGGCGCATCCTGGCGCGGGAAGCCCGAGGCCGCTCCGCTTGTGTCCCAGCTGTTAGGCAAATAACGCGGGCCGGGGAGCAGCTGCCCGATGAGGAAGTGTGTGAGGGGAGCCAGGCTGGGAGGAAGTAGCCGGGGCGGCCGCCGCAGAAAATGAGGAAGCGAGGCTGTCACTCCCTCTGAACGCGAGGCTGGGAGGCAGCGCCCCGGAGCGTCTCCTGCCCAGAGCCGCGACCCCCGCGGTAAATCCGCAGCGGCGGCTGCCTCCGCCCTACCCCCTCCCTTTGCGCTGCTCCGGGGCTGGGGGCGTCCCCCGGGGAACCCTCTCTGCAGAGGCGAGGACGCCCGGGTGGCTCAGCCGGGAAGGCTTCCCGCGGCGGCTCCCCGTCCGCCTCGCCTAGGTAAGCGCCGCTGCCTGCTCGGGCAGGTGAGGGAGCCGCGGGCGGGATGCGCGCTCCGGAGTCCTGCGGGCACCGCGGGGTGTGGGTGTAAGGCGGGGGGAGCTTCGCGTCTAGACTGGGCTGCGCGCGTGGGTAACACACCAGGGCAACCCTCCTGCGGGCACGCGGGGGATGCGCCGCCCCCAGCACGGACCCCGCTGCTTGCCCCCGCGGCGCGGCGCGGCGCGGGGAGGGTGTTTCGCGCCCTGCCAGGCACGCTGGGTTGCATGCAGTAACAGAACACTTAATTGAGCGGCCCCACATTGCAAAATTCACACACAGGCTCACCAAGTTCGGAGGGGTTTGAATCTGCAGCTTCTCTTTGGGCCCACCTGTAAGATCACATTTAAATTGCTTTCCTGGGTAAAGTTTCCTCAATTAGGTTTCTTTGTTTCATCCCAAGCTTACTTTTCATGTATAAATTGAAGAACAAACAAACAAACAATGTATCATTTACCTGAATAATAATAGGTAAAACACTGACCATGCCATGGCAAATTCATGTGAATCAGCTACTGATGCTTTTAAAAAGATTGAATACATTTGTAAGGAAAAAAATTAACCCCGAAAAGCAACAGAAGAAAGCAATTCCACAAAGCAACTTAATATGTAAACAAATAAAATATATCAGTTTGTGAAGGCAAACACAAAACTCTTAAGTTATAATTGTCTTTCAAGTCAGCATGAACCAGTAAATGAGCATATCTGGATGCATGACTATGAAACTGGTTTGTTCTGTAAACAAAACAATGTTGTTCATAATTTTCATGAGATGTTATTACCGGGACACTAGGTACAGTATTTTCGTTCAGAGTTCTGAAGCCTGACAATTTTTATCAAATGTCTTTTTTTTTCTAATAAAAAAGCTGTCACCACTATTTATTTCAATTTTACAATAGTGAAACTCCATTGACTTCAACAGAGTGAATGATATAAAAAATGAGAGTATAGCAAGTGATGTCTCAGGCCAATTTTGGGGCAAAGCCAGCATTCCTTTCTCGGGCACAAATACCTTTGATTTCAGTGGTGTTGGATCAAGCCCAGAATCAAATTTCTTAATTTGGCTTAATTTACAAGGTAGTTTTGGAAAGCATTTCCCTATTATGATTAATTTCCATAGTTCAACAAACCATTTACATTCTCATAATTTTGGTTGGTATCTGTTATTTTGGGCCTTCCCCTGCAAGCCCCCTCCCCGCGTACAAAATATTTGCTTTTTCTGTACCTTTGGAATCAAATGTTCAGTCTGATTCAAATGCATTGTCCTGGCACAGACCTGATAAGAATGTCAGGGCCATAAACAGTTAGCCTGAGAGCATTTGGAGTGGGTACTTTTACAGGAACTATGACGCTTTCCTTTCTCAGCCATTTGTTAAGCTTAAGACGGATAAAAGCAGAAATAAGGAAGCTTGAGACGTGAGTGTGTTTTTATTTTGTGACTTTCTGGGGGAAGGGAGAAAGGTTAAGAGAAGGGTTTCATAGATAAAACAACTCAAAATAAATATTTGAAACCATTTTAGGAAGATCAGAATGAGTAGTTTAATGACTAATATTTATTCTGATTTTCATATTTAGTTGGAGGAATAATTAAAATCCACAGTTGTATTTTATAAAGCTTTCAGGTTTTGTTTCTATTAAATAATAATAAAACACTGTAAAATCAAAGATATAAATTTTAGTCAGCTACATTTCTACTTCCTAGTAAGCA